ATCACCTGGCCTGGACGACATCAAACCAAAGGCATTGAAGACAGTGCTCATGAACCCTGCCGAAGCATTAGCTCGGTTTTCTCAACACTGTCTCGACAAAATGCAGGTTCCCACAATGTGGAAACATTAAATAATCACCCCTATGTACAAAAGTATTAATCTTGCGGAGCCCACAATCTACCGTCCAAGCACTCTCCTCCCAGTTTTATTCCAAGTAATGGAAGTTATGACCACAGAGAGTCTCATGGGATACCTTGCGAGCGAAAACATACTAGTGTCAGATCAGCACGGATTCCGCAGAACTCGGTCTTGCACTACAAACTTGCTTCTAGCCCGAGCAAGAATTAGCCGATGCCGGAGTGGGAGTCGACGTTGTCTACTTGGACTTCTTGAAAGCGTTCGATCGTTTAGACCACCGTATACTCTGCACACACACCCACACACGCACACAATATGCACGTTAGCTAGAGGTGGGAAACACCTCAGCTACTGTGCTGCAGTACCTAAAAGAAAAGAAGGGAATAAATGCCACAGGTGCAAGCCAACTGAGCTACCGGAAATGGATGGGCGTCGTTCCGGTAAGCTATCTGCCGGCTACTATGCAGCAAAACAGTAATTTCCTATACAAAATTATAACATGTTAAATAATGACATCGTGGTTGGAGGGGAGGCTGAGTGTTGGGGTGGGACAATGAAACTCACAGCACAAGCTTCGAAGCTATGAAACCGGTGGTACACAGTATCGACGCTTCGCTGCCGCGGAACCACCAGCGATCGAACGTGGGCTAAGGATACCGCGAGGGTCTTCCGGTCCCTATACAGGCTGCAACCCAGGTCATCAGGTCACATGGTAGGCTTGTGATCCTTAAGGCTATGTGTCGGCAAATAATTGTGTTCCAATTGAACCGGTGTGTTTTCCATGCGTCATGAGACAATCGTTGCAACCAACTCCTCTTCATTGGTCCACATGCCCATTCAGGGATGCACAATATTGTTCAGAACCATAGCGGATCCTGAAGATTCGTGACAATCAGCAGAGCAAGTGCAGTGCTAGTAGTTGTGGCAGACGATGTGTTGTTATAGGTACGTGACGAATGGATAGGTGAGGAATTGACGGCAGATGGTACTGTAAACACGACAACCATGTTTAAACACAGGAGTTGTTTTAGTGATTGTAACTTTGAGCAAAATATTGCGGGAGGCTCATGTTACACATCGTTATGGAAGACCGGTAGCGGTGAGATACGCGGAGACACCACCAACGACATTCGTCACTGAACAATTTCAGGATGCCAAATAGTTGTTTGCTACCTATCAAAGAACTGCCAGGTCAACTGTTTTTGCTGCAGCAAATTAGTCGTGCTGACGTAGACGATACATCCAGAGTCGTCCGGTAGTGGCGTAGCGTTCGACAGAATACGAAGCGCTCATTCAACCGAAGAAGGCGTCTTGGCAATTGCCTATACACTGTGCAGTAGGAACTGCCATTTATCCGCCGACTGCAATCGGCTGAAGGCAGATGGAGTGCCCCGCATCTACTGGGGTAACGCGGTTAGCTTTGGCTGTACGTTACTTAAAGTACCCGCAAGCGCAATGCGTGTGAATCGTTTAACAAACCCTAGGGCCGCAGCAGCTTTCGCTGAATTCCCATCTAGGTGCGCGGCTCAAAAGTCTTTCAGGGTGATGGAGTGAAAACAGTGCGCTCCATCCACCGTAAATGTGCGCCGGTTCACACGTGACTTAAGTCGTTTAGCCGCAGTCAGCCATTACCTCATGGCTACACGCATTCATCCATCCACTCATTATACACGTTAGCTAGAGGTGAAAAACACCTCAGCTACTGTGTCGGAATACATAAGAGAAAAAAAAGAAAAAATTCAACAGATGTATGTCAGTTGAGCTACCAGTAACGGGTGGGCATCGTTCCGGAGAGCTACCAGCTGCCTACTATGCAACAAAAATATAATTATGTAAAATTATATTAAGCTAAAAATCGAGATCGTAGTTGGAGTGGGAAACTAAGAGGGATGGGGAGAGACAAGGAAACCCACAGCACGAACTCCACTGAGGTCAGCTCCTTGCGATGTCAGCAAGTGTATTCAGTCAAACATAATCATCGTCTCGGACCCCAAACAGGAAGCCCAGACGCTCCATCTCCGAAGTGAGAGCCTTCATTCCTCTCGACCAAGTCATCGCTTGGCCACTTCTCCTCTTTTTCATCCACATCCCCGGCGCGTAAACAAAGCACGTCGCGGAAGCCGGTGGGCTGGCATGCGTAACACGTGGCCGAGCCATCTGAGTCTGGTGCATGAAATAACGGTGCTGAGCGGTTCAGTTCCTTTTCCTGGGCCGTAAACAAGGTGCCGAACATGTTCGTTGCTCACACGCTGTTCCTACCAGATGTGAGCCAGACTGCAAAGGCACCGGTGGTCGAACGAAAGTAGCCTTTTGGTTGGCTGATCTAAATGACCAGATTTCACAACTGTACAGTAGAGTCGAACGTACCGCTGCATTGTACAATCTGCCTTTCAGGGCGAGACTGATGTCGCACCGGCGCCATAGGTGGTGAATGTTAGCAAAAGCGCCTCGAGCTTTTGCTAAAAGATACGTGATCTCACCTTCGATCCCAAGGACGCTGATACAACTTCCCAGGTAGTCGAATTTTTGAACGACTTCTAGCTGATCACCACCAAGGGTCAGCGCAGGATGCGGTCCCTGCCAATCTTAGAAGAAATCTTTGCACTTCAGGGGTGCAAAGAAAAACCCGAAGTGACGGACAGCCAGTGTTAATCTGTCCAGTGCAGCTTGGCACGTCTGGGAGCTGTAACAGACGAGGGCAATATTGTCTGCATACTCCAAGTCAAGGAATCGTTCTCCTGTGAGCAGCCCCACGTCTTCTAAGTAGTGTCCTGTGGACGCGATCACCATGACTTCGTCAATGGCGAAGTTGAAGAGGAAAGGTGATAGCAACTATCCTTGTCTCACACCAATGGAGATATTGAAGACCGGCGACGGCTTGCCACAAGCCGTCAATTTGCCAGAGCTACGCGCGTAAAACGTTCGGACAATATTTTCATATTTCTCGGGCACACCTATCCTGAGTAGGCAGTCCCAGGGGGCACTTCGAGCAGCTGAATCGAAGGCACCTTTGATTTCTAGGAACACGAGAACGGTGAGCCGCCCATCTATGTGACGGTACTCCAATAGCTGACGCAAAATGCAGATGTGGTCGATGCAGGCACGACCTGGACGAAATCCAACTTGCTCTTCATAATTCTGGCCTTACTGAATGTTGGTCAGTCTGTGCAGGATGACAGGGACAAGCAATTTGGAGGCGATGGAGATCAAACGGATTCCTCTATGGTTGCTGCATTCAGAAAGCGAACCTACTTTGAAGATCGGGACAATAACGGAGCGGCGCCGGTCGGTTGGGACAGATTCCTGCTCCCACAGTTTCACTAGTAACTCGTGTAAATCATCCACAAGAGCAGGTCCACCGAATTCGAAGATGGATGAAGGGATATTTGCTGGTCCCGCGGCTTCAGCAGTCTGATCTCACGTCCGACTTCTGAGCGAGAGGGCGCATCCAAAGGGACAGTCCAGGAAGCAGGTCAGTCAGTGGCCGGTGAGAAACCTAACAATTCCGACCGATTAAATTGCCTTTCAAAGTGCTCAGCCCAACGCTCAATGAGTTTTGACAAGTTGTGAATAGGCTGTCCACTCTGGTAACGTATAGTTTCACTAACACCAGGTCTCCTGCTGCTCCTTTCCCTGACCAGATGGAATAACTACCGATGGTTATCTCTTCCTTCTCTGACGCACGATGAGACTACATGGCCACTCGCACTGTGGGTGCAAGTGTTCCTACCTGTGTCCACGGCACGTTGCGATCATCAGATGCAGGATCATTGCAGACTGCCGTGGCAGATCCCAACAAACGGACACACTGCGCGCAGTGCTACTCTCACACAGAGGTGAGGATGACTCAGAACCATTCACAGCGCGCTCAATCGCCGCCAGGACCAGAGATACTACGTGCGTATTACGACGGATGTGGCTTCAGCGTAGCCACTCCCTGCGAGTTTGAGTCCTGAACGTGACCAGTAGCCCCGATGCGCCTCAGTTATGCGCGCACGCAATGCGTTCCAAGAGAGTCTGGGTTCAAAGTCACGCGGCACACCATGGTTGATTTGAAATTGGTCATCAACGCGGACATTGCGCAGTTTGATGGTCCGTGCCCATTTGCTTCACCATGCTTTGAAATTGCCTACGGAGGAATATGATTACTATGTAGGGAGTGTGTGATGACCCTATAGACCCAACCCTGGCTGTCACATTGTGGCGAGGTTTGATGTCCCAACCACCCAGGCACGGGTCACATTGTTAATGTCTTTTGCATATCATCGGCAAGTAGGGTGAGAATCAGCGGCAAATTGCGCGATCCTCGTGGTTTATTTCCGGGCCTGCCATCAAACTACCTGAGGCTAGGGTGGGCATGCACACTATATGAGCAAATGGGACTTCTTCTCCTACTGCAGGGGGAATTGTCCATTAAAACAAACGCAGGGCCACCTAGGTTGTGCTAGAAAATATTGCAACGTTGGGGAGTTTTGGAGACACTGCAGCTTATCAGGAAACATGGCTTATTAAAAACCATTGTTTGCCTCAAACGTGGTAGATCCAGGATGAAGCAGTGCCAGAACAGAAGGTCATACTGTTCAGTGTACAAGAGGAAATGAATGAGAACTGGTCTCTCGCTTGTTTGACTCGGGTAGATTTGTCCAAGGTGATTTTGACATGCCTGTACGTGCGGTTCAAAGACAATAGTGAACTAGCGTACTGCCCAGGGCACTTGAGGTTTGAGCGTCCAAATGAAGAATGCTCGCCTGCGAAGAGTCAAGGCATCAGGTCCCCTGGCTGTATGAACTCTTAAATGCGATATTTCGATACACCTTTCTACTCTCAAACAAAAATAAGCAGAGATACACAATCCCGATTACCTGGCAATATCTGCATCAATGGAGGACACATGTGGGTTGAGTTGACGATACCGCTGGATAAAGTCATCTTTAGGCAGTTCCCATATCTCTCGGAATTGATCCCAGTAGCTGAGTGGCTCTTGTACCGCGGTGCTGATTTCTTGCATGCCTCGTTTGATGCTTGCTTGTATCTTGTTAATCTCATCATCATTTGCGATCGCTTCACTGATGGACTGTAGTAATGGAAAACAGAAATAGGATGTGCGATTAGCTGAAGGTCTCCTAATCACGTGGTAGGGATGAATGGTTACAGCATGGGGAAGTTAGGTAAGAACCTGGCGCTGCTGCAGAAGAAGACAGTGCAATCCTGCAATGTGTGAACTTCATCGTCAAGCACTTATTGCATTTTGCAGCTACTCAATGGATTGCCGCTATGTGTTTGTAGGTATGTGTGTATAAGTACTTACCCCGCCCTCAACATGTTTTCCATACATATGCTGATGTGTTACTCCGTTTTCCGTTAACTGCATCACTGATCCGGTCGCCGTGTTGATGGGCTGTTGGGCTGATGGGATGTTGTGACCCCCTCCCAACCTGTCCACATACACAGCGCGCACCGTACCCATCTTTTGGACTCATGTGACCACTCACTATGCAGGATGTAGCTATTGCATCTGCCCGCAGTCAGGAGTTTGAGTGTTTGCCCAATCATCGATCGACAAACTCGAGGCCAGCTTATTCATCTCTGGCCACGTGCGTTCCATTGGTCCTCTCATAACCGAGAGGACAAGGCGTCTGCCTTGCAACCCGGAGGTTGCAGGTTCGAGCCTGCGTGGAGAACCGGACGACCCTTACAGTATCCTTAGCCCGCGCGCGATTGGTTGTGGTTTCGTGGCAGCGAAGCATCGGTACGGCGTACCGCTGATGTCCTTCTATTTACGTCCATGACAGTTAGCGATGTTGACAGCTTCGTGTGTACTGACTGTTCCATTGATGCTTCTGAGCTAGTTGTTGATAACCTAAGAACGCAAGCGATTGGTGCTTGATCTTAACGGCATCGTAGATCCTGGATGCAGGTCTTGTTGTGAATGATTCAGGATCGTTGCAACGTTTAGCTCAACGACATCGTGTATGAATCACATGGTAGCGACAGAGCTTAGTCAGGAGCTATCATGCTCGATTACATGGATCATTTTGGAGCACTGGTTGCGCGAATGGATAACGGTAATATCACACAGTGGACTTCCTCAGCAGGTCCAATCGATCATAGCACTTACGCAAGTGATGTCGTACTAGTTGCTCGCGACAGATAATCATTGATTGAGCGCCTAGGTTGGTTTAAGGAGTATCAATAAACTACATGAAATAAATGGTACTGGATATCACCATGAACAGCAATAGGAAAAAAGTTGCCTATTTTGGACACTGCACATCTCCTTTGTGGCGCCCTCCAGATCCCCACTATCTAACCATCCGAGGAATTCCGGCTATTTGGATTACCATTTGATTGGAAGGGTTACGTCCGTCTGTTATAATTGCGTCGCCACTGTTATAATTGAGGGAACGCCGCCTCTTGAGATAATTGCGTAATTGCCTGATAAGAGTGTCGCTGGCACGCCTACGATGACGGCTTGTTACGCTGGCCACTCGAACGGAGTTGCGCTGACCTGATGACGCTAGCTTAGCCGGTGAGACGGAAAATTGAGCGACCGTGTGAACGATCCTAGCCGCACTTGTTCCGATAGACGCTGAGACCTCGGAAACGGAAACACACGAGAGGGGGGTACGATAGACGCGCGCTAATGACTTAGACGCGAAGGCTGGCCAGCTAACGACTCACACGCAATCACGTGACCCGACCGACTCCCAACTGAGGCGAAGAGAAAGAAAAGGCAAGTGGTCCTCTGTAGGCTATTTTACGACCGACAAAGGGCGATCACAGCCAATGCACTTTGTTATTAAGTTAGGAAAACAGTCACCACGCAGAGGTGGTAGTTTGCAAATGAGCATTGTCGAAAGGTGCGCAGTTGGGGCGTGTCTCTGAGTGGCTGAGCTCTGCTGCGTTGTGGGGAGGAATTGGCCTTCGCTTTCCACAGCCATGGTGCTGGAGTTTCTGGCGCGTTTTTGCGGGAATATTTGACGTGCCCGCAACACCTCCCTTTGAAGAGAAAGCATACCGCTGCTGGTGAGGATTGACCTGGAGGGATTTCGGCGACCTCCGGATTCTTCCTGTTCGTCGGCAAGGCAGGTTCTCCAGATGCGGCGACGATTGAGCGGCTTCGACCATGCTCTGTCGTTGTGTGGCCAATCCGAAAGTATCCAGCAGGATGTGCAGCGGCAGGCGCACGCGATGGCTGGCTGGCGTGGAGCTTTCTTCGTGGCCCGGATGAAGTTGATTGCGATGGCGAACCCAGATGTCATCACCTACGGAGACATATTGCAGCATGTCACCTCGCCTGGCCGTCACTGTTGCTTTGATCCAGCGTGGATGACCTGCTCGGTAATCGCGAGCGTAGACCGGAGCTCCGACGGCGAATTCTTTATGCTTGCTATAGGCACCAGAGTGACTAGGTGGCTTCTCAGTTGGAATGAGCGCCTCGTTGATTGTGAGTAGCTTGCGGCCCATCAATGCTTCAGATGGTGACTGGCCTCCTGGCGTAGCTGGATTCGGTGTGGACCGGTACGAGAGCAGGAAGGCCTGAAGACACTCATCCACGGTCCCCTGCCCGCGAGCTTTCAAAAGTGCCCTCTTGAATGTGTCGACAAATCGCTCCGCTTGACCATTGGGTTGGGGATGGTAAGGCGGTGAGCGGAGGTGTTCGATGCAGTGTCGGCGGCAAAAGTCTTCGAAGACGGAAGACGTAAACTGGGTACCATTGTCGGACACCAGAACCTCGGGAAGGCCATGTTGACTGAAGATCCGTTGGAGACAACCCAGAGTGGCGGATGCGGTTGGTGGGTTGACGGCGATCACTTCCGTCCATTTGAAATAGGCGTCGACTACGACCAGATAGGAAATGTCATCGATGGGACCAGCGTAATCGATGTGCACTCGAGACCACGGTTTTGCTGGCGGATGCCAAGGAACCGGTGATTGGTGTGGTGGCATCTTGGATGCTTGTTGACACCGTGAGCTGCGGCGGACCAACTCTTGAAGGTTGTTGTCAATGCTAGGCCAATACACATAACTGCGGGCAACTGATTTCATTCTGTTCATACCGGGGTGAGCAAAATGGAGCTGGCGGAGTACAGCTTGCCGGAGAAATGAAGGAACGACAACTCGATCTGCAGTCATGAGACAGGAATCTATCACGGAAAGGGAGTCGCGGCGTTGATGCAGTTGTTTGAGTTCACCAGACAAGGTAGTGTTTGGCCAGCACGTCTGAACGTAAGTGACGGCTTTCTGCAAGACAGGGTCTTGAGCAGTTGCACGACGTATGTCGGCGGCAGTAATAGGGAGACTTCGAATAGCGTACGATAGTTGATAACGAACGTCGTTCTCGACGGTTACAGTGGCAATCACTGTGTCTTCTACTGCGGCATGTTTGGAAATGAGGCGGGAGAGACCGTCGGCTTGACCAAAATCCTGAGTACGGCAGTAGCGGATTTCGAAATCGTAACCAAGAAGAAAGACCGCCCAACGCTGAAGTCGGCTAGCCGAGTATGCCGGAACGCCCTTCTTTGAATCGAAGGTTGAAAGTAGGGGCTTGTGATCGGTCAGTAGCGTGAACCGTCGGCCATATAACATCTTGTGGAACTTGGTGACGGCAAAGACAATGGCAAGGGCTTCCTTCTCAATCTGACTATAGTTCTTCTCCGCAGATGTCAGGGTGCGAGAGACGTGCATAACAGCTTTCTCGGAACCATCTGGGAATCGATGGGAGAGAACTGCTCCGATCCCATAGGCAGAAGCATCAGCAGCGACCAAAATCGGTAAGGCTGGGTCGTAATGGGTCAACAGTAGATCAGAACTCAGCATGGCTTTCAGGCGAACGAAAACATTTTCGCATGCGGGGGACCAGTGCCAAGGAACGTCCTTCTGCAACAACCGATTGAGCGGGGCTCGAACATCGTGTAGCGATGGCAGGAAGGCGCTGTAGTAGCTGATAAGATCCAAAAAGGACCGCAGTTGTGACACATCCGCTGGAGCTGGCACCTGCTGGATGACTCTGACGTTCTCAAGGATCAGGATGCCGACCATGGGAATCGAAAACGAAACCAAGATATTTGATCAACGGAAGGAAGAATTGGCATTTCTCAGGTTCCAGGTGGAAACCGTACTCCTGGATCCGTTGAAGGACTGCAGCCTGGCGCTCTCGAAGCTCTTCTGGGGTGCGACCAACAATGAGTAGATCGTCCAGGTACGCGGCCGTACCCGGAATACCAGAGATCATAGCGTCCATTGTCTGTTGGAAAATAGCTGGAGGGGTCTTGACACCAAATGGGAGCCTGGTGTACTGGAGAAAACCACGATGCGTATTGATCGTCAGAAGGGCTTGTGTCTCAGGGGCGACCTCGATCTGCAGGTAGGCGTCTGCCAGGTCGATTTTAGCGAAACAGGTTCCACCGTTGAGTATCGTGAAGAGATCGGCTGGGATCGGTAGCGGGTAGCAATTTGGCTCTAGTGCTGCGTTGAGACCAGTGGAGAAATCGGTACAGATGCAGAGGGATCCAATCGGCTTCTTGACCACGACGATCGGCGCTGCCCAGGCGGAATAGGGCACAGGCACCAGGACGCCCATATCTTCCAAACGTTGGAGTTCGGCATCGACCAAGGGTAAGGCTGCGTATGGAACAGGCCTTTTGGGACGGTTGAGCACCAGGTACAAGCTGTAACGTGGCGCGAGTGCGTGTACAGCGGCCAAGAACATCCTGAAATACCGAGGCGAACTGTCTGATGATGTCGGCGGTTCGATCGTTTGGTACTGTCAGAGAATGTACCTCATGGAAAATGGCCCGAAGCGGAAGATCGGTCAAGCCAAGAGTTTCGAGCCAGTCGAGACCAAGCAGGTTGAGCTTCGCCTTTGTGATGTAGCAGGTCTCGTTGAACGTGGCGTCCCGAAAGGAGACGGAGCAGTGCAGCTGTCCAGTTAGCTGCACGCGACCCCCACAGGCGCTGGTGGCAGATTGGGAAGTCGGTTCGTACGGTGGCTTGCCAAGCGATTGCCAAAGATCCTCGGAGATGATCGTGATGTACGACGCAGTGTCCAACTGCAATCGGACCGACTGACCA